AAATTATAAAATAAATAAAAAGCAATCAACTATAGTAGAACAAAGTTTTTATTTATTTAATGAAAGTAATATTTTTAATAGAATTCTGATGACTGAAACGTTTATTCAGTTTTACGTAGTTCTCTAATATACTAATCTTCTATTACTGAATGAGTTTAAATTTTATGTTAAGTTTAAATTTCGGCTAACAACTAATTTAGAAATCAAACCAAGAAATTTGTGTAACTTACCAGTTGAATAATCATTTTTCGGGCTGTGTTGATTTTTTTACTTGACTGTAATTCCTATCCAGACAACTTACACAATTTATATAAATGCATGATCATTAAAATTATACTGCAATCGTGAATGTCGTGATACTAAAATATTAAGTTTAAAGTACACAAATACCTTACTGGAAGATCTAAATTTTTTTCTACTGTAACATTTTAAACTACAAAAAAAAATTGAGACTTCATAAAATACATAGTTTTACACATAATTATATTAAAAGTTCAGTAAAATTTTGTTTTATACTATACCCTATTTTTACGTATTTTATGACGATACTTGCATTCAATCAACTTACCATGTATTGTAAAAAGGATATTTTTTATACTTCTTTAACGAAGCTATGATACGTTAAAAAAAAATTAACTTTCTATAGTAGCATTTTTTAACAAACTGTTTTATTCAACTTTGTCATTAGGATAGGCTATGGTTTATTTTACTATTATTATTAGTTAAAAAAAGTTACAGAGTTTAGTTGAGTTTTTCATAAGAGTTAAAATGCATGCGAATGCATGTGAATTTGTACGAAAATTTTCACACATTTTTTTAATGCTCTTTAAAAATTATTCAAGTTATTAAGTTTAATCGTCGCATGAAAACATAAGCTTTAATGGCTATGAATTAGAATGTTTCAGAAATGTAGGATACTCCTTGTGTTTTTGATGTTTTATTTTTCTATTAAAAATATTTGAAATAGCTAACGTAAAAAAAAAAAATTATGTGCAAAAACAATATTGCAAAAGGTGTATTTGGTTATAAATGTTCATTACATGCACTAAATTCGAAGTTATCACGAATTTTCGTTCGTTACGTTTTTCGTGAAGATTCTAGAAAACAATAAACATTGGTATTTCAGTAATAAAAATTGCTTTAAATCTTAAAAATTCTTAAGTATTTTTAAGTTAAAATATAACTTTGAATAACTTTGTAAAATGAAAACATGTAACTGATTTTTATATTTGAAAGATTGATACTATTTTTGTGAAAAAATTCATATGATTATGTAAACTTTTTTTCATCACCGTTAAGTAGATTGCACATTGAAAGCCAGTATTTTAAAATCCTGATAAATTTATTAAATTGCGATTGAAATCGAGTTGGCTTGCTTTTGAGTACAAACTCGAAGCAAATAAATAAACTTAATAAATATTTCTTGATTTCATTTCAATGTGATCTTTGCTTCATAATATTTCTTTCAAAATTTAATTGAAATAAATTTTATTAAAGATATTAAGTTGAACAAAAATATTCATTTTACTGGGACGATTTAAACTTACCATTTTCTGGTAAATTAAATGCTTCAAAAAATTTCGGAGACTGATTACTACCAACTTTACCTATAGTTGGTCTTATTGTCATGGCTCAACTAAAACCACACTTTTTAAACACATGTGTATTCAAACTATTTCATACTTCATTTACCGATGCTATTATCCGTTTGTATAATTTTTCAATTCAATGAACGTAAATCCTATAATTTGTGCACCCACATTGACAGAACACTGTTAAAGAAAGACCGACAGATAAATAACAATTTGACAACACCGATGAAAGTAACTGTATTGTTCCAAATAAAAGAATAAAAGCTTAAAAAACGTATAGCCCGTATGCATTGTTAATTTATTACATCAAAAGTAAAGCCCTACTTACTTTTTTAGAGCAAACTTTCGTATGTAAAAATTTACAAAATATTTATATTAAAACGTACAAAGTAATGCTTAAATTTCCCGCTTTTTCCCTCCCTTTTTTCCTTTTATTATTTTTGTTAAGGGTGGAAGGGGAGATTTTCCCCTTCAAGATTGAATTGTACACAGGTAGCGCCCTCTAACGCCGTGCACCATATACTACCAAGAGTAGGATAAAATTTTTGCGGTGCAGTTGCGACATGCACACAGTACTTGCTGACATTGGCACGGGAACTATACTGGCAGCACCATCGTAGACAGTATATATAACTCGATAGAAGAGAGATTATTATTATTATTGTTTGATTGTTATTTGTGTATATGACTGTATATATGTGTAAACGGTACAGTGGAGTTGACGGGGGCGCGCGCGTACTCACGCTGCTCTCTCGTCTCCGTTTTCCATTTCATCTCACTGTAACACGCAATGTGAAAAACCATCTGTGAGAAAACCAACCGCATTCTCTTACAGCTATAGTGTACACCAGCAACACATCTCTCGCTACAGTTTCGGCAAACCATCCCAATTAAATGCATAAAGTCATATTCGATCCTCGCCAAAGTTTTGTGTTTTTACGGTGTTTACGTTATTAAATAAACAACAAAGTCCGCGATGTACGCGTGCATATGGAGTTAACGAGTTGTACGGCTGCTGTTGCACGTGCAGTGTTTGATCAAAGACTCCGATGTGCAGCCAAGGTGCAGTGATGGAGAGGAGATTAATCATCGGTGCAGCGCAAAACTCGAAAGATATGGCGCTACTGCTACAGTCAAACATCAGCAGAAGGAGAAGCAGGAACGACTTCTGCTGTTGTTTGGTTTGTTGATAGCGCACCTTTTGGGAAGGGTTAAATTAAACATAAGTGTACATACACACACACTCGTAGAGCGCGTGTTTACACTGTTTACCCGTTTTTGTTTATACATTGTTGTCCCCGTGTGTTGTTGTATTGCCGTGCAATGCAGTGCTAGTGTAGCGCAAATACGAAAATAAGGTCCTGCTGAGTTTCGGAGTCTGTCTCTGTAGCAGAGGATGTGGCAGGAGGTGGACAGTCACGGTAGTAGCGTCGGTGGCGGTGGCTCGGCCCTTGCCTCGACCACGACCCTCATCTCCTCGACGCATCACATCGACCAGTTCACCGGTAACGGTAAAAGACAAACGGTTTTTTGCCTACTCCTCTATTTTTTATGTTTATTTTTACATTATTCGTTTGTAAACAAAATTAAACAAAAAACAAAAAAAAACAAAACGTATGTCCAGTTATGCGTTTAAAATGCGGTATCATCGTGTGTAATAGAATGTTCATCATATTATAAATATATACTTGGAGAGTAGGCAGAGATGCTGGGGGTCGTAGATATAGGTATACGTATACATTATAAGCACACGATTATATTTGTTGAGATATAAAATGAAACAAAAAGGGAGAGAGAACAGAGTAAAAGAAGCTGCACGTGCGCGCATGCGCAGTCGGTCTTCTATAAAACAGTGGTTGTCGTTCAGTTGGACTTGGTGTATAGGGTCCTGCAATTTTTTTGGCATGCTGCTGCAACATTAAAGTGTGTAATATTATAATTATGTATGTGTTATTATGATGCTAGAGCATGCCATTTAAATAAGTGTAAATAAAAAAAAACCACACGTTGCCTTGTGTGCATGTGACGTTAAACTGAACAATGGCAATGGAACTCAATGTCACAAAACATACCTATACTATTATGCATATTGAGATAAAAAGACCCTTGGGTGTTGCAACGTTATTCATACACACCTCGAAGTGTATATGTTATGCGTGAATGTCAGACTCTCTCGTCTTTCTCTTTGGTAAACAAAACCATCATGGAGCAAAGCCCATAATATGTATATATATCTACTCGAGTACTTACTCTTTTTACCTTTCTTCTCTTATTCTCATCTTCCTCTCTCTTTCACTGCACTTCTCTCTTTTTTTTTTTTTTTTTTTTGTTCCTCCCGCTGCATTACTTTTGTCGCACGCATAGGTATGTCATTACACCGACGTGAGCCCATAAGCGCACGTCTCTATCCCCTGCGTCCGTATGGTACTTACCTATTATTAAAAAAAAAAGTTCCGTCTGCCGCCTTGAAATTGCGAGCTGCTCTCGAAATCTTTTAAACACTTTTTTTCCTGAATCCTTTTTGTTTCATTCGCGAGAGATTATAAAAATTACAGTCGTTTTTTTTTTCACTGCGAGCAGGAGAAAGTTAGTTACTGCAGGAGCAACTTTGAATGTATGACATTTGTTTTTTGATACCAAGCTTTGTAATGTATACCAATGATAAAAAAAAAAAAAAAAAANGAGAGAGAGAGAGAGAGAGAGAGAGAGAGAGAGAGAGAGAGAGAGAGAGAGAGAGAGAGAGAGAGAGAGAGAGAGAGAGAGAGAGAGAGAGAGAGAGAGAGAGAGAGAGAGAGAGAGAGAGAGAGAGAGAGAGAGAGAGAGAGAGAGAGAGAGAGAGAGAGAGAGAGAGAGAGAGAGAGAGAGAGAGAGAGAGAGAGAGAGAGAGAGAGAGAGAGAGAGAGAGAGAGAGAGAGAGAGAGAGAGAGAGAGAGAGAGAGAGAGAGAGAGAGAGAGAGAGAGAGAGAGAGAGAGAGAGAGAGAGAGAGAGAGAGAGAGAGAGAGAGAGAGAGAGAGAGAGAGAGAGAGAGAGAGAGAGAGAGTTGTTACACACATGGTTGTTGGCCGTATACGCGAGTTTGGCTTCGCAACGTGGGAACCAAGACTCGGATGGTCGGCCTTCGTGTAAAAAGAAACCTCGAAGTGCGACTTTTTTTTATTTTTTCGAACTGGAGTAATGATACGCGTGTCGTTGAATTATCGTTTGAGTGACAAATGAGATCGCGGAAAATTTTCGGGATACATTGCGCAAAAAGTCAACGATGAAGAAGAAAAATTGTGTGCTGCATGAAATTTATGAAGCTGAAACTAACAAATTCCAGCAGCAATATCGTCAAATAACAAATTCTACTTTTGGTATACCCTTAAAAGAAAACCAGCTACCTTTCTAATTCAGTAAAATAAAAGGGTACCTGTCTTAGTTTTAAGGATACTCAAGGTATAAGTTGTTATTCGACGGTATCGCTGCTGAAATTTGTCTGCTAGTTTCAGCTTCATATGAAATTTACCAAAAAGAAATTAACAAAAAAAAAAAAAAAAACAGCACTATGATTTGACTATGTTAGAAAAATTCAAGTTGATATACATTGTTATAACATTTCATCAAAAAATATCAATTGTTAATTTTTATGATTTCTCATTAATTTTGCTTAGTAATGGTCATGAAATTTACTTCCAAACCATTTTTGTTAAATTTCATAAAACCTTTTCTAACAGTATACACTTATAACCCCCTGCGTGTGC